TTGTCTGACACTGACCTCTTGTGGCAGATCAGTACTGGAAAAGAAGCACATTTTGTTGCTCCCCATATCCAAGTGAGCTACAGCCAGGTGCCATTTTGGTGGGTGGCGGGGAGGCTATTGTTTAAGACAGAACTACTGTGAGGACTTGGGAACCACCCTCCCATCTGAATGGGAGATGGCCATGAGGAGCAGTTGTGGAGAAGGAGAGGATGGGTCACAACTTGCTTGGTAGGGAGGTCAGGCTATGCAGGACACTGAGGTCAGTAACCATGCCCTCTGTGGTGAGGAGCAAGCCCTCCAGCCGGTGGATCACACAGAGGCTAAGCGCTCTAAGCCGAAGCTCCTAGCCAGAGGATCGCTGAGCTTCTGAGGCTGCCTCCCTGCTGCAAGCACTTTCTGCTGGGTGGGGCTGAGAGGTCTGAGCCTGGTGGATTGCTGGATTTCCCAGCCTTCTGCATCTCACTACTTATTATTTACTCCTGGGCTGGACTTAAGGCACTGAGACTGGCAGGCAGAGTCCCAGGTGCCTGGGTTCTCCCCCACCGGTGAGACGTATTGGCTTCCCCAAGTCTCTGACGTACTCCAGGAACACCCATAGGCTTGGACACTTCCTATTCTGGGTGCACAAACTGGCGGGGATGGGAGAGAAGCACTCTGGAGCGAGTGGGAAGCTGTCTGGCCAACAGCATACAAAACTCTTTGGGGCCTGTTTGTTCTGTTGTTTTAGAAATGCAGACCTTAAATTTCAAACATATGGGGAAAAGATGTTATTTTCTTACTGGTTTTAATTACATTTAAAAAGCATTTATCTCGCATTCTTTGGATTGTTTGAGATTTGTTATTGGCCCTGGGTGGTCAATGTATTGTTCTGTGCCTGACACATGCATCCTGCACCATCTGGTTGTGTGCTACACTGACCAAGTGTTCACAATTACCTGACTGCCTGGTAACCACTCACTGATTTGGCCAAACTTTAGTCAGTCTTCTCTCCATGCTCAAACCCCTAATGGTGGCCCACCCCTAAGTTTAGGCAAGTACTGAGATGTACTCCCTTTAGAGCTCATCCCAAGGATCTAGAGACAGGAAATACACATTCCCGTAAAACCATCTTGCTCACGCTGTCTGCTCACTCTTAGCACTTGCCTCTTCCTTCCAAAAACTTTCCACTAGCTCTGCTTACCTTTCCCCTCAAAAAGCCTTTTCCACTTATTTTGAGATGCTCACCGATCCTGAGGTTGGAGTGTTTTCCTTACTGAAATAGGCTTTTCCAGTGGTTTCTAAAGTCTACATTTGTTTTTAAGAATATACAACCATTAGGTGAATCTGTTCACCTTCTTGAAGGTCAAATTCCCTACTTTCTGAATTATTTTGTCTCCTGTCCTTTTCTTGCATGGCTAATTTAAACCAACTACTTTGGAAGTGGATTTGTCTACTTTTTAGTTCTTTTACTATTTAGTTCATATTTATTTCAAAATTTAAAGCCAAGCACAATGGTGCGTATCTGTAATAACACTTACTTGGGAGGCAGGCTAAGGGAGGAAGATCATGAGTTTGAGGCCTGCCTGAGCAACACGGTGAGACTCTGTCTCAAAAAATTTAAAAAAAAAAGGAAGAATGAACCACTCATAAAACACAACATGGGTGAATCTCAAATGCATGTTTGTAAAGAAGGTTAGAAAACAAAAATACATATTGTATGACTACTTGTACAAAATTTAGAACAGTCAAAACTAAGCGATGACAATACAAATGAGGGATGGATTACCTGTGGAGGGTTAGCTAGAAGGAAGTACAGGGAACTTTCTAGAATGGTAGAAATGTTCTGTATCTTGTTTGGATTATAGTTATACATATTTATACAATTGTCAAAGCTCACTGAAATGAACATTTCATGCTTGCTACATTTTGTTGTATCCCACTGTAAATATTTTTTTTAAAGTTACCTCTTCCAGGAAAAAGAATATTACCTGTATACAAATGTAAACAAATTTGCCAGTTAACTGAATATCTTACCATTAAAATTATTTACCCACAGTAATTCTCTTTGCTTTAAAATTTGTTGATATCAAGTAACCACACATTTTGTTTTTTGTCCTTTTGTTTGCAAATGTTTGAAATTTACAATTTAGATTTCTCTTTTGAAAACACGGTGGGGTGTGGTGGCCTGTAATTCCACAATTAGGAAGACTAGGCAGGAGGAGCATGAATTCAAGGCCAGTTTGAGTCACCTGGTGAAACCCTGTCTCAACCCCTCCCCTTCAAAATAAAATACTAGTTTTGCTTCCTTTTTAATTGAGGCAACAATCTGTCTCAGCCAGAACATTTATTCTCTTTACATTTCTTAGTGAAATGGTTTTTTAAAATTTATTCATATATCCATATATCGTGCCACTTCTCCCCCGACCCCACCTCCTCCCTCTTTCCCCCCACCCCCCCTCGCTTGCCCTCTTCTCCAGTTTTGTTGAAGAGAAGACATAAGCAATAATAAGAAAGACAAAGCATTTTTGCTAGTTGAGATAAGGATAGCTATACAGAGAGATTCCCAGCATTGCTTCTATGCACGTGTGTATTATAACCCGAACTGGTTCATCTCTACCAGACCTCTTCACTATTTCCTGGTCACCTTCCCATATTGACCTCTGTCGTTTTAAGGTTACTATATTAACTCCTCTACAGTGGACACTTTCAAACACTTTCAAGTTTTGGGATTTCCTACTTTTCCCTATTCCTCATGTACGTGTTCTCCTCCTAGCCTGTGACCCATGTCCAATAATATTACTGCATTTGTTTTAGGTCTATAATCTGCATATGAGGGAGAACATACAATTTTTGGCCTTCTGAGCCTGGCTAACTTCACTTAAGATGATGTTCTCCAGTTCCATCCATTTACTTACTAGTGACAAAATTTCATTCTTCTTTGTGGCTCAAAGAAAATTCCATTGTGTATAAATACCACATTTTCTTGATCCTTTCTTCAGTAGTGGGGCATCTTGGTTGTGTCCATAACTTGGCTATTGTGAATAGTGCTGCAATAAACATGGGTGTGCAGGTGCCTCTGCAGTAACCTGTGTCTCATTCCTTTGGGTATATCTCTAGGAGTAGGATTGCTGGATCATATGGCAGATCTATGTTTAATTTTTTAAGAAGCCAGTGAAATGTTTTAAACCTATCACTAAGCTGGCACCAGTGGCTCACACCTATAATCCTAGCTACTCAGGGGGCAGAGATCAGGAGAACTGCAGTTTGAAGCCAGCCCCAGCTAATAGTTTGTGAGACCCTATCTTGAAAAAAACTATCACAAAAAAGGGCTGGCAGAGTTGCTCAAGTGGTAAGAGTACCTGCCTAACAGGTGAGAGGCCCTGAGTTCAAACTCCACTGCTACCAGAAAAAAAAAATTTTTTTTCGCTATGTCCATAACTTGTTTTGTTTTTTATTATTCATTTTTCCTTGCAGTTTTGGATAGTACACGCTTCTTTATTCTAATTAGTTAAGTACTAAATGTCCTGAGCATACAGAGTATAGTTGTACAGTCTCTGTCTGGAAAACCATCTGTAAGTTCTATAGCTGGTTCTATTGTCTGTGCGGCTTATTTATATCCTTGTCTCCACACATGCCTGGTCATCAGTGTATGAAGTACAATTAGAAAAGGTTTTGAGAAATAATTTCAGGTTCCAGTTTATAATCACCAAATGAGCTAGCTTTTCATCAATTGACTGTATCTTAAACTGTTTCCAAACACAGAGTCTGGGCCCAAGCTCCATCTTGTGCAGATGTGAGAGCTACAAGAAACTGAGCATGACTGTAGCTTAGAGTCTGCAGAAGATGTGGCCAGAAAAATAAACAGAGCCTATCTTGAAGAACCTCAGAATTTCCTGAAAAGCTACATCTGGGGTTTATTGTGTCTTCTCTTCCCTGCAAGCATTTGGAGGCCAGAGGTCATAGTTGTTAGTCACATCTATATCTTCAATAATGACAACAATTTGTGCATTTTTTTAAGAATAAAGGATTGCTAAGGTCAAGCTTTTCCAGTGTGATCTATTTCTGAACCATTACACTGTCTTAGTCATTATGTAACCTTGGAGTAAGCCTTGATGTCTGATATATAAGGCTTCCATCATCTCTTCTGCTTCCTCCTTTTCGTACTTTGCATTTCCACTTTTTTTTTTTTTTAAGAAACATCAGGTTACTATGAAGTAAGAATTAGCAAGCTGGCTGCGGTTGTACTGAGATTTATTGAGTAAATAAATTCCAGGAATTCCAGTTTGCTTATTTGTATGGGTACCCTGGAGAGTGGTGTTAGTAACAGCCTAATGGGCACTGGGTCCACTGCTAGATCTCCAGCCTGCCCATCCCTGGGCCTAGACTTTTGTCCACATCAATTCCAGGTGGACACTTCATCACGTGAAGTACACAGGAACCTCTCAGGGCAAACGTGGCTATGACTGTAGTCACCTTCTAAGTGATCCCTAAAACAGGGCCATGAGACAGTGCCACCTATGCCATTTCCCTTGATAGGAACACAGGAGGAGCACAGACAGGCAGAACCACGTGGGGCTTTTAAATAAATTCCAAATGCTGAACTAGAGTCCTCCCTATCTCTGAGAACCAAACCCAAGCAAACCCGCCTTCCCAGCTGACCTCCAAAGCAAGGACACCATACTCTCTGCACTTCCCCCTGATGGTGCTGGCAGGAATGGCCTTGAGCAGCAGGCAGTGCTTGGAGAACCAGCTCCAGGGTAGGCAGTGCCTATTTCTGATGGCTAAATCAGCAAGCTGCAGGTGCAGGCTGCAATCTGGGCATCCTCATCACTTTGGCTAGAGTGTGACCTCTGCTTCCGAGATGAGCCCTCCAGGGCACTAAGGAGCAGGACATGGAGGGAGCAGGATGAGGTGTGGAGTGGGCCACAGGGAGACCTTGAAGGGTTGAGTCAGGCAGGAGGTAGACGAACAGCCAGGGTGTTTATTCCTGGGGGCAAGCAGGAAGGATGTGGGCCAGTGTCTCACCCCTCTGGGATGAAGGGCCGAATGAGCTCTGGGTTCAACAGTGACTCCTCAAGAGGCCGGTCCACATGGAAGTCATGGACATGGGGGGGCCCTGGGGGGGCCTTGGGGGCAGGCCCCCCTGGGCGCTGGGGAATTGGCAGCTCAGATGGGTGGGCAGGCAGAGGAGCTGTGAAGAAGTACTGATGCAAGAGGGCCTGCAGGTAGCAAATAAGAAAGCCCAGTCACTACCCCCTCCACAGCCTCAGACAAACACATGCACTTAGCTGAAGTTGATTCCCATGTCTGAAACACTTTCTAGAGGCTGAGGACACAGTGCTGGACAAAACAGACCAAGCTCTGCTTTGTTGACAAGGCCCAGAGGAGGTCCTGGGCTAGACAAGAGTGAGCATGGGGAACAAGAGCAGGCAGAATCAGGAGGATCCTGGCCTTCCTCTCAGTGAGGAGCCACAGGAGAGCCCTGGCAGAGATTCGACGTGGCCTATTCCATTTGGACAAAATCACTACCAGGTGGAGAAGAGATCAGATGAGAACAGGGAAGACACAGGTTCTGGGAAGTGATGCAGGACAAAAGAGGCCAGCCAAAGCCCATGGAAACCACTGACAATGGATACCAACACAGGCTGCTGACGCCCAGTGTAGAGGGATAGGTTCCATGGAAGTCAGGCCCTGACACCCACCAGCCCATGCTCTGGTGTCCACAGACCCTTGCCTGCCTTCCAGCCATGACCAGCCTTCCTGGTCCTCTCTCCTCCGGGCCACTGTTCATCACTTGACTGTTCCAACGGCAACTCCTCTGCTACCTTGTGCTTCATTAAACCTGTCCTGCACCAGGAGGCTCTGCCCACCCTCTGGGAGCTGCCGCCATACTCTTGTGACCCTATGGGTAACAGCTGCCTCCCCTCAGGAGGCAAGTTTGTTGTTCACTGTCTGTGCCAGGGCCCAGGGCAATGCCCAGTACATACTGCATGCTGAATATATACTGCTAAAAGGATGAAGCCGAGGTCCCCGGAGAGTCCCCTGCTCTGTCTATCACAATGTCTGCTCTTCTGAAGACTCCTCCCCTACCCCTGCCCGGAACACTGAGGATACCGAGTGGGGTCCACTCAGAAACAGCACACCTGCCCCAAGGCCCCCATCTCTCAAGCTCCTGGCCCATCATGGGTTCTGAAGGTTGCTGACTTGTTGGGTCCCAGAGCCACAGAGTGCAGGGCATCAGGGCAGTGCTGAAGGGACAGTGACCACAGGCTTTTGCCTTACCTGGGAGGCTGCAATGCGCTGGCGAGAAGGGTAGAGGAGGAACTGACCCAGCAGGTCCAAGGCCTGAGGAGAGGCATCAGGAAGCACCTCCTCCAGGGGTATCGGTGCCCGTTCCTTAAAGGAGATCTTGTAGTCAGGCAGCTCTGTGATCTCCTGGGCAAAGAAGAACGGGCATGTGAGAGGTGGCTCCACACTTGCTGCTCCCTGACACCAGCTCTCGGCACCTCACACTCCCAAGTGTATTCACAGTTATTCTATCCAAGCGTCCCATCTCCACTCACCCACCCACTCCTTTGTGCCTATATTCACCCCTCACCCTCTCCGGTGACTGCTCTGTGCCCAAGTTGGAGATGACATGTGTGTGCGTGTGCTGGGGTAGGGAAAGGCAGGGGACAGACCCTGGCCCTAGCCTCCAGGAGGAAGGAAGCTGCTGCTGGGCCAGAACAGTAGTCTCTGTTGGTCAAGAGAGGCTGGGGCCATGAGAGAAGGTGCACAGAAGGGGCAGTCACTTCCTGCTGGGGAATGAGCAAACCTGCTACACACACTCCCTACCAAGGGCCTCTACAAACCGGCCAGACTTGAGGGCTGGGGGTGCCCAAGATGCGAAGCACACAGCAAAGCTGCTCAATGTCATTCTCTCCTGGGAAAAGGGGAGAGCCATTCAGCAGCTCCCCCATGATGCAGCCCACAGCCCTGTGGATACAAAACCCCAAAAAGGCTGAGATCTCACCCCATGGACACAGACCCACCCATACCAATACCAACACCTCTCACCAAGATCAAGGCCCAGATCATTAAGTCCAGGTATACAGACCTCCAGCAATTAAAGACCTCTGCTCTATAACGTGGAGAAACCCCCAACAGCTCCAACACATCTCAGAGCCTCACACCTAGGACATGCAGCTCCACCTCCTTTTTCTGGGGCACAGCTACAAAACAACCCCCAATCTCAGACTCCTCCCCCCAAAAGAGGCTGAGCCTTCACGTCCAGAAACACAAGCTCACACCCAGGGACTAGCTTAGAGATGTCTTATCCTTCAGTCTGACCCCCGCACAAGCCAGCTTGGACAGTCTATGTCTTGAGCTTCAGACAACTTCCCCAAAAGCCCAGCTGCTTTCCACTGGAGACAACACTCTCCTCTTGTTCCCATTCAGCTCAGAATCTTCACCATGAGGAACACCAACCCCAAGGTACTCAGAATACCCTAGAAGACTCCAAGTCTCACCATAGGTCAACGCCCTGCTCATACTGGCCGGCACCATACAGGAGCCCCGGAGCTCGGTACAACCTAGGGAGAAGAGAGTTTGCTGTCACAGCCAGGCTGATCTGCCAGAAGCTGCCCCAGAAATTCACTCCAGTCCCACAAGCCGTGCCTGGACAGAAGGCACAGCAGCGTCTCTTTCCCAGTGAGAGGGTTAGAGGAGATCCAGCCCCCACTACCTGGTAGCCACCTGGTGTGTACAGAGCCAGCTGCCATCTGGAAAAAATGACCCGGGCCAGGCCAAAGTCAGCTGTCTTGAGCTGGCCTGAGACACTGATAAGTAGGTTGGCAGGTTTCAGGTCCTGGGGGTACAAAGGGAGCCATCAGTCCCACAATATCCCCCCATAGGACTTTGAGACAGGAGGGATTGGCAGGTTGACCACCCAGAGCAGCCCAGACCTGTCTCTTCAAATGCCCCACCATACCTTGTTCAAGGGCTAGTCCCGTCCCGTCCCCCACCTGACCCATGCTGGAACTGACCCAATGCACGATGTTGTTGGCATGGCAGAAGGCAACACCCTTGGGCAGCATCTGCAGGTAACTCTTGACCTGTGCTGGGTCCAGTGGCTCACACCTGCATTTCTAGTTAGCTGGAAGGCAAAGATCAGAAGAATTGCAGAGTCAGCCCCAGCACAAAAAAGCAAGGCCTTCTGTCAAAAATATCCACCACAAAAAGGGGCTGATGGAGTTACTCAAGGTAGAATGGCCTGCCTAGCAACTGTGAGGCCCTGAGTTCAAACCCCAAACCCCAGTACCACACACACACACAAAAGGAAGGCATAAATAAGGGGTAAGGAGACAGATGAATGAGCAGAGTGGGTGTGGGTGAATAGAAGGCAGGAAGAAGTGGTTGAGTGATGAGGAACGCTGGGGCGGAGGCAGGGCCTTTGGGTGAACCTGTAACTCCAGGTGCCAGGTTCTACAACTTGCAGGTACCTTCTAGCATGAGAGAACGTCAACTATTTCAGTGATCTGTGTGATCTCTAATGCTTAGTCAAATAATTAGGAAGTAGTGAGTCTGAGTATTTGATCCCTTTGTATTTAGAATTTTTTTAATCATAATTCCATATAGTGTGATTTTTCAACGAGTGTTTTTAATAATGAGCTTGCTAAATTCCTGCTAATTTAATAATCAGCTCTCACAGACTAGTCAGAGGCAGCTCCATCTCAAAACTGACAAGAATGTAGCCTTGGAATCCAAAGCTGCTTGGCTATATTTTATTCTAATTTTCTAAGTGTATATATCTGGGGTTGGTGAGTGTAGCTTACACTAGAGCATCTGTTAAGCAGGCACTGGGTTCCATCCCCAGCTCTGCAGAACAAAACTTCATAATTTATAAATGTTGTTGATGTGCTTTTTGAAGTTCATAATTTGCTGAGTGTAAACATAAATTAATTGCTATCGGTTTATGAGAATTCTAGCCCCTTCTCCTCCAGGATGGATGTTTCTTTCCACCCATCTACTCTGAGAGGCTGTTATGGCTCCATTTTAGGTCACAAAGTAAAAGAAATGCTCACGTGACATGCAGGACCTTTCAGAAACAGGAAGCTCCATCCTGGCTCATCCCTTATCCCATTCCTCCAATGAGATAAACCTTACTCTTAAAAACTCCAAGCTGCCCCCCAGCCACTTTGAACTCTTCTAGTCCAGAGCAGAGGGCCTCTTTCTGTTTTCTGTTCTCTGTCATTACAGAGAACAGCTCAAATGATGGGGAGAAGTGAAATTTTCCTCCCTGATACCAGACTCTTGAGGCATCCACATGAGGTTCCTTGTGTCTACCACCATGCATTTTAATATTCAACCACTTAAGCTAACAAAATTTAAATCTTCTAAAAGTAGTATGAACGGGTACCTAGAAGTAGAAAATAAGCCACCAATAATTTAGAATAATTTGAAGCAGTTATGATTGCAAAGAATCTTAATGTGACCTAAACAGCATGGATGACAAGGGACACACAGTAAAAGTGTTCAAATCAGGGTAGTACCTATGTCCCTGCACTCATCCTCCACTGTGACATCTTCCATCACATGTATTTTTAAATGTTCACTATCTTTTGGAAATATCACTTAACCAGCACATCTGCACCTGGAGCCCATGTCTTTACTGGCTTTTGTGCATGATTTCCCTTTGTTGGATGGAAAAGAAATACATCATGGAAAAGTTAGAAAACAATGAATATGAACTCCCAATATTAAGAGGCCACAGTGTTGAAGTTTGGGATAAGTAAGATGGTTACAGCGTAGTCCACACTCAGGTAATAACAAACTCAGAAGAAGAGTAGATATTTCAAAGGCAATGAAGTGTGACAGAGGAAGGGGCAAGAAAGGAGATGATTTCTGTGTGGAAAAGAGAGATCTGAGACAGCAATTAGGAACTTAGGGAGAGCCCAAACCAGTGAGTGCTGCCTCACTGTCTGGAATGATAAGGAAAGGCAGTAAAAACAACAGATGCAGAGCAGAAATCACTGTGCTGTGTTGTGTCCCCTTGGGCCAGTTTGCAGAAGAATTAGGGGTGCACAAGGATGTACTATGGATGTACTCGATCTTCCAGTTTAATAGAAATGTGACTTAGGTACAATTGTCCCTCACCATCCTCAGGGAACTCTTCCTGGGACCCTCTTTGATTCCTTAATCTGTGGCATAGTCTTTGCATATATAAATTACCCACATCTTCTTGTATGTTTTAAATCATATCTGGATTACCTGTAACATCCAATACAATGCAACACATAAAGAGTTTACATTATGGGACTGAGCATGGTGACTCAAACCTGTAATCTTAGTTACTCAGGAGGTAGAGATGAGGACAACAGTGGTCAGAGGCCAGTCCTGGCAAAAAAGAAATTTTCAAGAGACCCCATCTCAACCAATAAAAAGATGGGTGTGGTGGCACATACCTGTCATTGCAGCTACTCATGAAGGATATAAAGGAGGATTTGGTGCAAGATGGCCCTGGCATAAAGGTGAGGCCCTATTCAAAACATACCTAAAGGAAAAAGGCCTGTGAGCATGACTCAGGTGGTTGGGCTTGTGTAGAATTTGAGATCAAATTCCAGTACCATGAAAAAGAGATGCTATACTATATTGTTGACAGAATAATGGCAATAGAAGAGCAAGTACATATACTTTTTCAAATTATTTTCAGTTTGAACTTGGATAAATCTATACTTCTGAAACTCATGAATACTGATGGCTGAATACATTTAATTTGTATTTTTCATGTGGAATTTTCTGATTTTAAATTAATAGTAATTATAAAAACTTACTAGTAACTTTGAAAGCCACTCTGATATTTCATTAGTAAACAATAGCTAGAAAACAAGTATGCTATAAAATAATTCCTTATACAACAAACCAGCATTTTTTAAAACCTTTTCCCCACTGTTCTGATACCTAACTTGAGTTTCTGATAGTGAAGTAATAAGGCCTGGCATTTTGGTCAACTCCTATTACTGAGTAATGTGTTAGCTTAGATGGGAATCCTGTCGTGAACTGTTAGCACCAATGTCACTTCACTGTTTTCTAAGTAAAAAGAAGACTTTTAACTTTGAACAGGTTTCCCCACAGGGAGGAACGAAATGGTTACCTGGCACCTACATCAGTGTTGGTGAGGAGCACTGACACTCTTTCTTGATAACCTCTTCCATTTACAGAATTAAATGCATGTACTGCAGGATGTTTAGTACAATATAAAGCTTTTAGGTCCATTTGACCCCAGATGGAAAGATTTGCTTATTTGGTGCAATAAATTTTTATTTAAATATGTGAAATTTTCCTAAGTGCAATGCCTTAGTCTATGATTCGGATCTTAAATAGGGCCAGGTGTATTGGTGAATGGCTAAAGTGCCAGCAACTCAGGAGAACTGACAGCCAAGTGTGCTGCCTTAAACAAACCAGAATCTTAAATAGGCTGTTATTGTGGTTGTTTACTGAGGTTTTTTTTAAACTTTATTTTGTGCTGGGCCAGAGAGTACATGCCCAAAGATGCCAGGTTGTGCTCTTGAAGCAGGTCTACCAATCTGCACATACAGAAGCACTGACGGGCAACATCTCTACACAGTCTCACCAACAGTGGTTTCACCAGACTTTTCCATTTTTGCCAATCTGGTAGAAGTAAGATAGTATCTCACTATTGTTTCATTTTGTGCCTCTTAATGATTTATAGAGAATTTTTTTTCATACTGGATATTAATTTTCTGGCAGCTATATTTCTCCTGGTCTGTAACTTCTGTTTTCTTCTCTCTCTCTCTTTTTTTTTTTTTTGCAGTACTGGGGTTTGAACTCAGGGCCTGCACCTTGAGCCACACAGGCAGCCCTATTTTTGTGGAGGGTTTTTCGAGATAGGGCTCATGAGTTATTTGCCCAGGCTGGCTCTGAACCTTGATCCTCCTGATCTCTGCCTCCTGAGTAGCTAGGATTATAGGCATTAGCCACTGTCCCCCAGCTTCTTGTCCTTTTTAAATAGAGAAACATCACATAAAGACTGGATTGCAGTTCCATGGTATCCAGTACAGGGACTCTTCACATCCCATTTGGAGGAAGGACTGAATGAATGACTCATGACATTTCAAACAGTACGAGAAGCTCCAGGAGATCTCTCCCCAACTCCATCCCCCTTCTTCTCCCTACCCCACCCAGAGGGAAGAACTACAACTCTGAGCAATCATCATTTTTCTTTCTTTCCTTTTAACTATATAGCTATATAATCTAAAAAAATTATTTCTACTTTTACCTATTTGGAATTTTAAATAATTTTAACCACACTGTATGTATTTTTGTGAAACTTACTTCTTTCACTCCCAAATTATATCTGTGAAATAGCAAAAACAAAACAAAACAAAACAAAAAAACTTTATTTTGAAACAACTTCTGAATGACAGAAGAATTGCAATGAAGTAATAGGGAATTTCCATATGCTTTTTACCTATCTTCCCCATGGTACTTTGATCAAAACTTACATATTAACATTGGGGCAATGTTATTATTTTGAACTGACAAGTGATAACTATATATTTATGCTACACAAATCTATGTTTTGCGATATACATATAGTAAAAAGGATAAATCAAACTAATTAGCACATGTATTACAAACTTAACTGTCCTTTTTTGGTGGGGACACTTAAAATCTACTGTCTTACAACTTCCAAGTGTAGGATACTGTTACAAAGTAGAGTCACCATGATGGCATAACTTCTAGAGATCTGTGGGACAATGTAATTAACAAGACTGCATTTTTTATTTTCATTTAGTTTTCCACACATACTCTTTTCCTGGCCCAGAATCAAATCTAGGAGCCCACACTGCATTTAGGAATTGGATCTTCTTAGTGTTCTACACTTTGTGACAGGTCCTCAGTCTCTGCTGGTCAACACAGCAAGATTGGTCACCATCCATCATCTTCCTGCCTAGTCCTATTGTCTGTCCAAACACACAGTCTAATGTCTGGTTAATGGAAAATCTTCTGGTTCTGACTGAGAGTTAGTAATGTTCCTCAGTAACATTTCTGATGCAATTTTATAATTACTAGTTTTTACAGTCAGAAATTAGGACTGGAGATATAGCTCAGTGGTACTGCTCTTGACTCTATAGGTTCAATCCACAGCACAGGAAAAAGAGGAGAAATGAGGCTTGGAAAGTGTACATTTGAAATTTTGATCACTCAGTTTGAAATTCTGAGATGTTTCTCAGAATTTACTTACACTTGTTTGTAGTAAGTCTAAAGAACACATTGATGGCATACTTCTCTCTCTTGCATTTCACCATATAGCGGTCATTTTCATTCTCTCTGGAAGCCAGGAAATATACCTAACATGAGACACCTGTGGAGAAATGCAATGGAATGAAAGGACGAGAATATTCCCAGTGGGTAGCCCTGGGACCAGCTTCTCCACAAGTACAGTACATCCTGCAATCCCTCTGGTAACATCTGCAGTAAGTCAACCTTAAACTTTTCACATCCCTGACCAACAGGAGTAAGTCCTATCCCCATATAAGGTACTTGATTAACTGGGTACCCTGATAAAGTGAGGAATTTCAGAATCCCCTATGCCATGAGGTGATCCATGTCAGCAGGAAAATGCAGTCACAGATAAACTGCAGGCAGGGAGGAGCTGCTGTGCACTGACTGGGTCATAGGATTCACATGTGCTGGAGCAATGTTATTTTAAGTGATGGCTTACTTAAAATTTAATAACATGCCAAAGGAAGAGAGGGAAAACTATACAAGCACCCGACTGAGGAATATTAGAAAGCCCAAGGCAGTAAGGGACACCACACTCACTTAACAAAAATCAAAACAGAACCAATAATGCACTTAGCAGGGGTAGGCTTCAGGGCAGACCCCTACTAAGTAAAGGTGTAGATCAACAGTTCTTAAACTGATCAGCCCACACTGTCAAATTCTGCAAATCTGTAAAGACCACGTAGGGTGTGCAGAAACATGCCTGCAGTTCCAGCACTTAAGAGGCTGAGGCAGGGGCATGGTGAGTTCCAGGCCAGTGTTGGCTAAATAAGGAGAACCTACCCCCCACTAAATAAAATAAAATAAAAACCCAACGGAGCCTGCATTTGTAATTATTCTTACTTGGTCGCTATTGTTTAACACCAAAGAAAGTGCTCATCACACCAGCTCCCCACTGTTGACCCCTTAGGCTGTTTCTCCACTGCACACTTCCTCTCAAGCCCCAACCTCAGCCACACCAAAGACGCTTGAGCTGAAAACAATTTTATGATTTATACAATTAAAAATGCATGTTCTGAGGACCCCATTTGCACAGAACCAAAGTCTAAAAAGCCAGAAAAGCACCTACCACAGAAACATTCTTCCCATACATAAAACAGATAAGTTAGCTTTTTGACTAGGTTGAGGATTCAGGAAGAAGTTGTACAAAACACGGAGTGACTTTCCTCCACTCTCTTTCACCTTGGAAAGACATTATTGCCAATTCAGTTCCAGCCAGGTCCACATCAAGTGCTGTAATCTGCAGGCATTTAAGGAATTGCTTGGTGGTCATGTGACAATTTATACTATAGAATCATCACGAAGTGACTCAACTTTTTCTGAGTATCTTAGAGAGGAAAATAAGAAATGAAAGAGAAAACAAAATAAACTTTCCACTTACAGTCTGCCTGTGAGCAGTCTCTTTCACAAATGAGAAAACACATTTCCAGATAAGAAAAAAAAATCCCTAAAACAATCATTTTAGTTTGTTTGAGGCTATTACTAAAGGCTGACTGACTTCTCATTTTGTTTCCGTTCTAATACTGTATCTCTGGGGTTGCTCAGATTTTCAGTACTGTGTGCTTATCAGTAACCTGCCTAAATGAGATTTTTATAAGGGAAGATACACTGCCAGGTGTCAGACACAGGCATGATTTGTCCCCGAGGAGATGAAAGGTTGAAGGAAACTCACAGCTGGACCCTCATTACTCTGGCCAGTGGTGAATAGCAATGACCACTACTCCTGGTACCCCATGAACACACTGCTCTAAAATTTATCAACTTTGTGCAGAGGGGCATTACTCAGAGATTAAAGGTGGAAAATTGTACAGGCCTTCTTCACCCGGTGAGAGGGTGAGGGAAGCTGGAGACTCTTCTGACTGACCACAGGTGTCCACAGGGAAGAGGTTGCCATCTCTGTGAGTACTCCCTGACCAACTGCTCAGAGGTCTGTGCTTCACACATTAAAGCTTTTCAGTCACCCTGCCTACTTTACAGGGGGAAATTTAAGCATTTGGATCAGTTCTGATTCATTAAGCAACAATTCCAGTTACCTCCATGCAGCATTTCTATCTGTGAGGGTATAGAAAATGCAGAATCCTCAAATGCATTGGTGGAGGTGTTCCCTTACTGCCTTCTTTATACCTCCTGCAACTATCTAGAGGTCTGAGCAGTTTCTCAAAAAGTACATCCGTAAGAAAAACTTGCCCTCATTGGTCTAACTTTAAGACAATTCCTTAGTGAAATGCTGATACACTTTGTAGTAGCTTTGCAAGATGAAATATAAAAAACAAATCAATTTATATTGACCAGTCTGATATTCTCTTTAAATGACAGTAATGTTGAGGAAAGAAAGTACATTTAAAACCAAGCCCTTCCTGGATGGACCAAGCCATCTGCTGGGTACTCACTCACTAAAAGGGATTACAGTAAGTATATCTCCTGCAGCAGAAGCTACTCTGCAAGAGCCATTCCCAGGAAGGTAACCATCATGAGAATAAGACCTCAGTCTCCAAGAGCCCAGGGAAGGCCAGAGTCGAAACTTTGATCATTACCAGACAATAAACATTGATGGACAAATCTCATATTCACTAACCTGCCCATTGTATTATTTACTTCTTCGACTCTGAGACCCCACACTCCTTCTCACAGTTACCTACTTTTAGTTGACTACAAAATCAATAATTCTGAGGTCACAAAGCTGAGCCATATGCTATTCCTATCCTAGTGACTTTGCTGTAGATGACACCTTTGACCTGTGGGTGTAATGATAATGGGCTTAATCAGGTAGTGGCACAGTAAAATCCACACTTCTTGCTCAGAAACAAAGTCCCATAGGGATCAAAAATCTGAAACAGGGTCTCACTGTGCAGCCCAGGCTGGCCTCAAATTTATAATCCTCCTGCCTCAGCTTTGCAGTACTGAAGTTGTAAGCATGCAGCACCACACCTGCTCTCTGGAATACAAAGTTCCTTAAATATTAGATTTCTGAGAAGAAAAGTAAAGATTGGTATTACACTATGTTCTTACTTGGAATGCATATTACAGCAATCTTGATTTCTTATAAGAAACATAAACCATCTTTTAATTGTAGGAAATGACAGTAAAGGCTACTTGAACACTCAAATCCAATTGCAGATTGTAATTACAGATTTTAACTCTTAAAATCTATCAGTTGTGAAAATTTTGTTTGGGCATTTTGTAATGCTATCCTTCCACCAATTTGTTTCTTGTCAAATAAAGTAAGGTGTATTATATCATAATCATCTTGTTAAACTCATATCTGGAAGCCAACCCAAGACATTAAAGGGGAAATCGAGAAGAACCATAAGCAGACATTTCAAAAATAAACTCTAGGAGCATTTAATTCTATGTTGAGTTACAATATTAACCCACTACTACCTCCGCAATAGCCAGCTCTTTCACTTGAGAGACCCTCCGAAACAAAGAGTATCATGGTAGGGTCAGAGATCAGGATGGTCAGCTACTTCAGTTACCTGGAAATGCCGGAACTGCCCAAATGAATCTACCCAGCCCTCGCAAGAGCTTTCTCGAGCTCTTGCTCTACTGACCTAACTGGGGGGTGACAGGAGATGCAGAAAGGACAGTAAAAAACCTTATAAAACACATTAAATTTTATTTGGGCATCAGAGTGGTTAGAAAGTCACTAAATTCACGAAACTGAAAATACTCTCTTGCCAGCTGCATGCACGAAGTATGAGGCAGCAATCAGCTATTGTGTATAAAATTTGAGACAATCCAAATTCTTAATAAAAATTCTGGAAGCTCAATGATTTCTAAAAGACAAGAAGTTAGGGGAATCAGGGAGGCTGCTACATTTTTCTTCTAATTTTTATTATGTTGTTGTTGTGCTAGGGGTACATTGTGACTTTCACAAAAGTTTTTACAATAGTTGACTTCAACCCCTCCATCATTCTCCTTTATTTCTCTCCCCCCATTCCTGGAATAGTTTCAGCATGTCTCATTGTTCCATTTCATACATGAGTACATAGAATTTCCACTATATTCAGCTTCCTTCACACTTTCCTTATATTATCCCCACTTGAACTGGTACCAACCGTAGATAGGACCTGTTTTATCTTCCTGTTCTCTATCATTTTTGATTGTTTAAGATAGCACTACAGGGAATTTCCTTGTGAATTTCCACTTATGTATGTATTGTAACTTGAATTGGTTTAGTCCCTCTATTTTTCTCCTTTCTGCTCTACTCCCCTTCTTAGGGTGATTTCAACAGGTTTAAAAATTCTATATTCATTCTTGTACAGAGAGTGTATCAACCATATTTACCTTCATAACTTCCTCTTTCATCCCCTCTCTCATATGTGACCTCTGTTCACATGATCTGTTTCTCATAATATTGACTGTAATTTGTATTAAGTCTATATTCCACATGAGAGAAAACATAAGGCCTTTGGCTTTCTGATCTCCAAGGTATAAGCGCGAGTTTCCTAAATAGAACACAAATGGCTCAGCAATTAAGGGACAGGATTGACAAATGGAAATGTATGAAACTGAAAAAACGTCTGTACAACAAAATAAATGGTCACCAGATGGAAAAGGCAGCTCACAGAATGAGAGAAAATCATTGCCAGCTATCCATCTGACAAGAGATTAATAATCAGAATATACAGGGAGTTCAAAACACTAGCCCCTCCCCCCCAAAATCAATGACATAGTAAAGAGATGGGCAAATGAACTGACCCAAGGTTTCCCAAAGGAAGAATTCCAAATGGCCAAAAAAACACATGACAAAATGTACAACATCCCTGACCATAAAAAAAATGCAAATCAAATCCATGTTAAGATTCCACCTCACTCCTGTTACAATGGCTATCCTCAAGAACACAAACAACAAACATTGGCAAGGATATTGGGAAAAATGAACCCTCATACACTGTTGGTGGGAATGTAAATTAGTACAATTAACAGGGAAAACAGTAGGTAGGCTTCTCAAAAAACTAAAACTAAAAACAGAACTGCTGTATGAGCCAATCATACCCTTCCTAGGAATATACCCATAGAAATGTAAGTGAAGATACAATAAAGACGTTGCACACCAATGTTTATTGCAGCACTGTTCATGACAGCCAAGTAATAGAAACAACCCAGATGCCTTACAACTGATGAATGGACTAAGAAAATGTGATACACACACATACACACACACACACAATGGAGTTTTATTCAGTCACAGAAAGAATGAAACTATGTGGTTAGAGAGGATGTTTTTAAATCTACAAATACCACAACATAGACCAAGGATATTTTAACCATATGTGTCATGTATCCATCAGAATTTTCATTACTAGATCATGTTAAGAAATGAATGTGAAATCTGACAAGAGTCAAGGAATAGTTGTTGAAACACACATTATGATGCAGTTGCATCCATAAAAATTAAACCTCAACAGCTGAATGCTACTCTTGTAATTAACCTATTTAAATTACGCAAGGAAAGTAGCCCCTAAATTGAAGATGACCTTTGTGCTGTCATTTTATAATGATCTTCTGAGTTCTTTCACTTAAGCACATTGAAAAAAAGTTGATCTTTTACTTTGAAATTTTTCCTCCCAATGCTTATAACCCATGAAGTACTCAGGACTCACAGTTATGGACCCAGAATCATGAGGGTTTCTGCCTCAGAAAATCAGAACACAACAGTTAAACTCTTATACCTCTTTAAACTAATTAAATTCAGTATTTACTTAGTTATTATAATTTTTTTTGAAAATCATTGAGAGTTGTTAAACACAGATGAAGAGTAACTACCAGAATAACAATGATTAATTTGATAATGTAATTTTTATAGTTGAAATCTGATTTTAATAACCATTTTTCTCCTGCAGTGATAGAAACTGCTTTCAGCATAAATCTCACACCAAAATGCTTCTTCATGGTAAAAGTCCATGGCAGGGCACGATTGTGGGCATGCTCTCCAACCTGAACTCACTGAAATTTTCACTTCTACTCTGGCTCCTTCAAACAGATATACTTGATTATTGCTAAGTGCCTGCATTTGACTTTGAAGGGACACAAGAACACAAGCTATAATTAACCCCGATCTTTGAAGTGCTAAAATACGGGATAAAAGACAGACTGGTAGATCAAGCTTGTAATCCTAGATACTTTGGAGGCTGGGATAGGAGGATCAGGACCCCAGAACTGCCAAGAGGAAAAAAATGATTTTTAGACTCCATCTCAACAGAAAAAAGCTTGGTTGTGGTGGTGTGCACAGGTCATCCCAGCAATAGAAGGAACCATAAAAGAGAAGGATCATGGTTCGGAGCAGTATTGTATAAAGACTGTATCTCAAAAGTAACCAGACAAAGAAGGGCTGGAGGCATAGCTCAAGCAGAAAAGTGCCTATCTAGCAAGGAAGAAGTCCTGAGCTCAAACCACAGTAATGCCAAAATAAGAAAATGAAAGGAAAATATTCAATTTTGTAGGTACAATGCCATTATTTATGACATTCCATTCAAATGGGATAACATACCCTTTAAGTTGTACTGCCTGAACTGGTTCACCTTTCATAGAAAAAATAATCTGTCCCTTTAAAGATAGAGAAAAAACTTGCATATCAAATGTATTAACTTACTTATTACAATACAAAAAATATTTCATTCAATGATTCCCAAGTAGCATGAATGGATCAATACATCTCCCAAAAGTAAGCCCTTAGCTTTCTTCAGTGACCCGATTGATGGGAATGTTACTTGCAACAGGAGCCTTCTGGTCTCCTCCCACCACAGTCCTCCGACAAGGTCATTTCCCCACAATTAGCCATGGCATCTTCAGGTCACATAGTTGTCATGCAGTGACTTGGTTAATTTCCCCCCAGTAGCCCTAACATTGGCTCATGTATTTTATTTGTTTTAGTTACTCATGATCAGCTCATTAGACTAGTGAGTGTTATAAATCTGTCTAAAACTATGAAGAGTTGGAATAATTGGAAATTGATAACCTGGAATAAGTCTATGTTTGCATTATGAGCAATGACTCAATCAATATGGAGAAAGCCATAAAAATAAAAGACAGATTT